TGCTCATTGCTTCAGTGATGCTATCTAACCATCTCATCCTCTGCCGTCCTCTTCTCCTTTTGCCTTCAAGAGGAAGGACACAAGCCTTCAAAATAGAAGTTACAGCAAAAAGTCCTTCTAATTTATTTTTTATTTATTGAAGACTAAAACTGAATCAGAGCAAAGCTTCAACCAAATCAATTGCTCTTATTAGGAACACTGATACAGTATTTGTCAAGGACAGAAATGGGTGTCTTAGGTAAGATTTGGTCAATTAAGAGATTACCTTGTCCTTGTCATCTCTGTTTCTAGCTTCCTCTCACCCCCCACATGATTAAAACAGAAGATGCTTAGAATGCTATTTTGATATGTTGATATGGACTGTTTCTACTACCAGTACTCCTGCTTAACTGAAGAAGATGCTATGATGAGACTTCCGGGGAAGAAATGGTGGACTGAAGACAACTCCACGAAAAGCGCAGCTGATGACCACAGCAGAATGAAGAGCCAGTGAGTAGACTGGCTGTTCAGTAATTCCTCTCTGGACAAGGAGAGGACTTGAGATTGCCCACAAGTGCTCCAGACAGTTGCTCCTTATGAGGAGACTGAAAGACAGTGGTCTCCGGCAAGTTTAGATCTCTGGGAGATGAGAAATAGCCATCTTGTTCAAACCATAGTTGGCATCTTTAAAAGGACACTGGGTTCGCATATTTCCTTTTCTAATCAGTTTTCGAAACTGCTTGTTGCCTGCTTTTCAGCTATTAGAAACCTTTGGATTGACAAGTTTTACAGCACTGGGTGAGTTTCCTTCAATTCTTAGAGAAAGAAGTTTTAACTACAAGTTTCAGAACTTAATTTTTTTTTTTGAATAAACAGCAAAAGCATGATTAAAACCTTGATATTAGAAAGTTACAAACGGACTAAGGGTCCAGATAAATTTGAAATAAGATTTTGGAATTAATTGTAAAGAATCCTTCCCATGGGAAAATGCTTTTGTTTTGAATTCTTAAAAAAAAAAAGACTACAAATTGGACACTAGAGAGGACTAAAGGGAACTGAAGATTACAATTAAAGAACACTCAGGCTGGACTTACAATTACAGAATGAAGCAAAATATTTTAACATTGGACATACTGAAGGATATTTTT